AAATTGCAGGAAAAGTCACTGAAGAGACCACCTACACATGGAGATGCGTTCAAGGAGACACATACTCGTAAAGGAGACAAAACCTTGTGGGTTGATACACAATCTCAGGCCACATATGTAAGTTATCCTTATTGACACTATATGTTATTATTAATGATTTATTATATAGTTTTCGAGACTAATATATAATTATCTGCATTGAATTATAGGATGACTATATTCAAAGGCTTGAGGAGGCATCTTCTCAAGATCCAGAGTCAGTTGATGATGATACTCTATGGTCAGAAACGGTGGGTGGCCTTTATAAAGGCCGCATTTACGATATGGGGAGTCGCTTTGCAGAATCTATGTCCCCTACATCTGTCACCGGAGATGCCTCTTCTCTTGTACCTGAGGAAGTGGAAGACATGGTCCGCACTCAGGTCCATGCCCTCAATGAAGAACTGCAGAAGCAAAATGAAGAGATGTGGAAGAGTAAGGAAAGTGCATGGAAGAAGAAGTGAGCAAAGAAAATGGAGAAGAAGATAGAGAAGAAGGTGGCATCGAGGATGCAGAGGGAGGTGCAGCAACAGATGCAGCAGCAGCATATGCAGATGCAGTAGATGCATGCATACTTTGAACTCATGAGAGCAAGCACTTCTACACCTCCTCCTCCTCCTCCTCCACCAGCTCCAACACCACCAATCTTCAGCTTCATGCGTCATTCCTCCTCTGACTCTTCCTCTACTGGTGGCGATACTTTTTCAAAAGATGATCACACTGATTATTAGTGATATACAATGTTATTTTATTTTTTATATTATTTTTCTAGATGTTTACTTCTTCCTTTGTAATGAAATTTTAATTTTACATTTTATAGATAACTTTTAATTTTAAATATATAATTTTGTAGTTTTTATTATGTTTATAAATTGTGATAATTAGGAACAGCGAAAAATAATTATGTTTATAAAAAAATGAAATAATTTTTTAAAAATTTACAGACAGATTTTTTCATCTATAAATTACAGACAGACTTCAAAATCTGTCTGTAATTATTTACTGACGTGCATATTACAGACAAACTGTAGTCATCTATAAATTTGTCTGTAATGCTAAAATTCGTCTGTAATAGTGAAAAATCCGTCTATAAATTCGTCTATATTTTTGAGTTTTCTGGTAGTGAGAGTTCAAAGAAAACTTAAAGAGGAACATGAGTTTAGAAAAATAAAATTTCCATGCTAGAAATCTCTTAAATACCTCTCAGTCCCACGCACTCTTGCTTGAGCGAGGAATAACTCGCTTGAGCGAGATATGTAGACAGTGGTCTCGCTCACTATTTTCTAATATGCTCGTTTGAGATAAGCTCAATCTCGCCTAAGTAAGATGGTGCCCATAGAGCATGATATTTTTCCTGTGAGTCCTCGCCTGAGTAAGATCACTCTCGCCTGGACGAGGTGACAGTTGGACTGAATTTATCTTATATCGCTTGAGCAACAAGTATCTCGCTTGAGTGAGATAGCCTTGCAAGTTTGTATTCTTGCAAGCCCAGCCTCACCTGGGCGAGATTTACCTCGTCTGAGCGAGATCACTTGCACCAAAATTCTTCCAAAAATCCTCTATACTCCCTTCAAAATGCACTCTAATATTACTTAATATTAAACAAAACATAAATTATTGAAAAATAAAAAGAGGGTGTTACAGTTTCTGAGCATCAATCGAGTCTTAATTTGAAATCTAACAACAAAAAAGTCAATCACGATCGCAATAAACAATTCTGAGATTAGAGAGAAAAAGAGAACAAACTCGGAGCAATTAGCACAAAACTCAAGTTAGAACTACAACGTTTGGATTCTGCAGATTGAACGAGAGGTTTAACCTTTCATTGAAACGCTTAACCCACGCAAGAATGAGAAAAAAACGAGAGAGTTTGAGAGAAAGTAAAAAAATAAGGATTCTTATTTCGGTCAAGTCTCAAAAGCTCAAAGTGTCTAATCCTCTCCAAATTCAGAACCTTATTAGTCTATTTATAAATTCTGATTAGGGTAAATTAAGTGGCCAAAATGCAAACCTCAATAATATCTAAAAGTCCAAATACATTTATCAAATAGCAAGGGTCCAGATGCAATCCTGCAACAATATTCAGCAAATTTGCCTCAATTTCAAAAAAATCATAAAAAATTGAAAACAACTCCAAATTCAACGATCCATATATGCATTTTGAAACCATAGATGTGTAAAATCCAATGCAACTAGAATCAGCCAAAAATGATATCTGTAGATAAAGTTATGGCCAAAAGAGTAGTCAGATATCAGAATAAACGAAAATGTGAAATTAATGCATTTATTTGTAATAGGCTCAATTTATTCAAATAAGTAAAAAATGATAAAAACTATAAAAATAAAACATATGAAAATTGTTTATTAATCAAAATAAAACATTAAATGTAAACATAAAATATGTTACATCAACGACTCAACATTGTCTATCATTGACCAACAAAAAAAACGTATCTAAAGTCCAAATAGGTTGGGAATTTTAAGGATTGTAGCACACTGAAAAGGGATAGTAGGAAAATTAATTTACATGGATGGGGATCTATTTATGCATGAGAAAATTAACAAAACAAAGTAAAATGAATTAAAATAAGGCCTACTTATTTCTAAGTCAAAATTAACCATATACCATGGGTTCTTATGACCCCAAAATTAACATTGTACTAAAGTTACCCCAAAATAAACCCTAAACTATGAAAAAATCACAATAATAACTAAATAAAAAAGAATAAAATAAATCATGTTACAAAATTAGACCAAATCAAATGCTAGACAATGAAAAATTGTCAATTTATTTCATTATTTTTAAGCATTCACAGTCAAAATTATAAACCAAAATTAGACCAATACAATTTCATAACCATATATTTCCAACTACTATTTTTCATATATTTTCTAACATTTCACAGCAAATATAAACAAAAATTCTAACAAGAAAATAAGTTGCCTATTTTTCTGCAAATTAGTGATTAATTGCAAGAACTACTGATGCTTATTTGTAAGAAATTTTACAAAATTTAAAACCATATTAATTATTAAAAAAAAATTAATTTGAGTGAACATAAGATGTCAACTAGTAGAAAATAGTCCAATAAAAAATAATTTAGCTATAAAGATCAAATTAACTATTTTCATAAGTACAAAATATTTTTTCGTGAACAAGTATACCCGTTGAAAAGTGATAAAAGTATTCTCAAATTGAGTTTCCAAAAGATCGTTCCACAGAGATTGTTTTCAAGTATTGAGAATATTATGATTTAATTACTTGAACCAAAATAGGACATAATATATTAAAGAAAATTTATGGACGATTTATATTAAATATTAATGAAAAAGAAAAAAAATAAGTCACAACTTTTGACAAGAGAACTATTAGAGATGAACCTAGAGTATATGTTTTTACTTTTATACCTCTTTATGTCCATTTTTAGTTTACCTCCAATCCCAATTTTCTTATGATTTTCAATTACTCATACTAAAGCTACCAACACTCAATGATTATGCAATGTTAATATTCTTTTCTATAAGTTAGTACCCTCAATAGTCATATAAGGTAGAAAGAGAGAGAAAACATAAAGATACTATAAATTTGCTAATTTAATAACAGATTGAAAGAGAAAAACAAAGCTTGGTTCACTCAATTATTTGTCTTGTTTTTTCCTATAGATCCATTAACTACATATAATACAATTGACTACAATGCAATCAATTGTGAGATATTAAGAGTAGTCAATTATCTACATACAAATATATATACTAGGGCAAAAATCAACATTGAAAGAAACATCAATTGTCATTAAACATAAATATCACATAAAGTATGCAAAGGATCCACTATAACCCTAATTATAATTTCAGATATTCATAATGAACTAGGAAAAGAAAACAATTGTAAAGAAATCTATCTTCCTTCAAAAAGGAAATGTAAACTTAAAGGATTTCAAAGGAAATGCAAAGGATCCACCATAGCCCTAAGTTCTTGTTACCAAAATGCAATTTCAATTAAATGCTCAGACTCTGGATAGGTATCATTTGTCTTCACCGATGATATTCACTTCCGAACAACTCCAAAAGTTGGCTCAGAGAAGATTATCTAAGTCACAGGCACTGGTTGTCTTTAAATAAGATTCTACAACCCTTAAAAATCCCTAATTAGATACACAAGAAAAGAAACACGGCGTGCATATCCTCCAAGCATGGTCATGAAGCACTCGCAGTTAAATAAGATTGTGCTTCCTGCCACGCGTGACCTTACTTTCTATCAAATTTCCTCCAATCACAACCAAAATACATCCACAACTCCATGATTATTAATTCATGCTAAACTGTAATAGGTTCTGACAAGTCATTTAGTCATTTGGTTTCAATCATTGGAAGGTACCTTCTTTTAATTGTTGTGTTTGGTGAAAAAGTTATCTTATTTCCTATTGTGGTTCCTCAAGCTCAGTACCATTTCTTCAATTCTTTTGTACTACATATGGATAGAAGACTATTCATCAAAGGATATAACTTAAAATGTGTAGGGTAAATGGACAAAGTAAAAATCAATAATCCATTATACAGTTATAATTTCTATGATTTTCCTTGAGATCAAACAGAGAAAATTTAACAAAACTAAAATTGCAGGAAATTTACGAAGATGGCATGAAATATATTGTTAAAATTTGACTATGAAGCTATTTTGTATTTTGTTCAGCAACAATGAAACTGTATGGTTTTAGTAAAATTCTACATGTAATCAAATATAATATAACATGATTATAATGCAGTCCTATTTTCTATTATATTTCAAACTTTATGCCAATAAATCCAACCTTTAACCATGATTAGGCTTCTCAACCAAGTTCTATCTTAGTAATTTGAATGATTATTATTCCTTTTTGTAATTTTTTTATTTTATTGTTGTAGTTCAAATAATAACTATGGACGAATCACAATGATAACTAAACCAGAAAGAAAGACTAAAGTAAAAATAGTTTTTTATTTGACAAAATAGCTAACTTATTTGTGGAGCACAGATTATGAAACTTGAAAAAGTAAAAAGAAAAATGAGATCCTCATCAAAAAGGCTAAAAACATAAAGGAGAAGGGATAACTCTGCATCCATTTGCGGAATCAAGGAAAGCAGTTAGGTCAACCATGTCTTCTATGTTTAACTTGATGCCAGTCTCTTCTTCAACCTATCAGTGTCATAAATACAAGAAATCATGCATAGTGTGGATAAGTTAGTTACATCACTAGGAATGACAAATAAAAAAATGTCTGACATGCAAGTGAAAAGGCCATAAAACATGCACTTTCAATATAACTAGAGAGGATGAGGCCAATCAGAAATAGAACTCGTGAACTGCAGTGCCAACAAAATCACCCTTGTTATCATCTAACATTCCAGCAGGCAATTCCAAAATAATTCTCTCAACAGGAACCCTTGCCTTATAAATAAGAATGTCCAATATAAGAATAGGGATAACAATAAACTACAGTTATAATTGCTCAAAAAAGACACTGCAAGGCACCAACTGGCATCTACCTGCTCAGTAAGAACAGCACAAGTCTCACCCTCTTGATTCCAGAAGTATCAACACAGCCACACCTGGTCCCCTTGCAAATGCAATACTTGGAACCTAATCACGGTTTGCTTTGCTATAAAAGAAGGAAATCAGCATTAATCTTGGATTCCAAAGAAAGATGCATTTGTTTGATACTGGGCTGAGATTACCATGGACATGTCATATTACTCGTGTCTTATGGAACACACAATGTGTGTAGACATGTGATATTCAAGCACATGGGAATACCACTTGCCCCGGTGTATGATTCCCTCTAGTTGGATATTTAAGATTGCTAAGGGCAACCAAAAGGCATAAGACATGCCAGAGAAAGAGAATATAAACATATTGTTGTACCAAACATGGGAATCCTAAATACTTTGCATTTATATTCAAGATACCTTGAAATTTAAGATAACTGTGATCAAATGCATCCTATGCTTTCAGGAAGAAAAATTGTTTTGTTTTTCTTTCTGCTTCTGATTTTTTTCTTTTGGCTAACCTTGTATTGGTACAAGGTAAATTACAATAAAAAATACCAAAACAAAAAGATAAATCCAACTATTTTACAATGGACACAATACAACTATCAAAGGGAAGAAGTTCCTTGTTAGGAGACCAAGGAAAAACATTATGCTGCAACTTCTTGCTCTTTTGAGGCAAGTTGATTCTGAATGTGTTGAGGCACCACATCAAACATGGCTAATTGCATTGTGTAGGATGCACGGCCCTTTGTCATCCCTCTAAGTGTACTGACGTATTGGAACATCTCAGCAAGAGGTACCAGAGCATCAACCACCTGTGTTTGTCACCATCAAAAGGAAGTAAAAATAAGCATGGCTTCAATTATTAGAATCAACATCCAAGGTAAAAAAACAGAACAAAAATATTGCCTTCATTCATCCTACTCATCTATATCCACATGTCCTCAACAAAGTCTGCTACATATAGAATACCCCATTCAAACTCAAGACCTGAGTCAACACTGTTCAATCCTACTTTTTGAGCCAACCACGATTGGCAAAAACTTCAAGTACAATCAACCAATGTGGTTAACATGACTGCAACCTCCTAAATGGTATTACCTTATTCTTCTTTTATGATCTTATATTGAGGGAAGGCGAAGTGGGGCTCTTGTGAGATTATGTGGGATGATATTGGGAGTTTGCCTCACTTTCCCTCCCTTGGATTTTCAAGCGCTGCCTTGGAAATTAGAATTGTGTAGAAAACATATCAATTAGGAAACATTGTGCATTTTCGGACAAACAATACACACAAGCACGTTCAAGTCAACCTTCAAATTTAATAAAATAATCCAACAAGGAGAACCAAGTTATTTGATGTACCTTTAGACCCCCAGGTTTGTCACCAAAACTGTTTATCTGACCTCTTCTTGAGTTGAGATCGCCAATTACATCACCTAGATGTTCCTCAGGAGTAACAACTTCAACCTTCATTATAGGTTCAAGCATCCTTGGTCCAGCTTTTCTGATTCCTTCCCTAAAAGCTCCTCTTGCTGCCAACTGAAATGCCAGCACACTTGAATCTACATCATGGTAAGAACCATCCACGAGAACTGCACGTACATCAACAACCGGAAAGCCAGCAAGCACACCATTGCTCATACACTCCTCCAATCCTTTCATCACCCCAGGAATGTATTCTTTTGGTACAGCACCTCCTTTGATTTCACTCTTGAACTCATATCCACTACCTGGATCCATGGGCTCAAACCGTACAGTGATATCTGCAAACTGACCTTGTCCACCTGACTGTTTCTTGTGCACATACTTCACTTCTGAGGTTTTAGAAATGCTTTCCCTGTAGTTTACTTGGGGAGCACCAACATTAGCATCCACCTGCATAAACAAATAAAGAGAATATGATTTTGATAAAATTATAAAAAAAGAAGACATATTCTTAACATAAAACTACTGAAGAAAGGAGATAAGAGGGGAAGGGGAAGACAATACCACTGAACAATTAATAATGCTTAATCAGATGATAGACAGGGATTTTACTGAGGCTTAAGAGTCATGTCTCATAAGCATCATAATTTTTTATGGTTCTTTACTCCTCCATTTGCCTCATTTACTGGAAATAAGTGATAATTCAAAGTGAAACAGATTCCATTACAATCTAATGAGCTAACATCCATGCTTATGCACTATTATTGTTTCTAATTGCAATTATTTCACACACAGCATCAGGGTTGGATAAATGAAAAGTCTCAACAATGGAATGATAGTTATTACCTTAAATTCTCTTTTGAGTCGATCGACGATGATTTCAAGATGTAATTCTCCCATTCCTTCGATCACTGTCTGGTTTATCTCTTCGTCACGGAAGAAGTGGAAAGAAGGGTCTTCCTGTGCAAGCTTGATTAAACCAGATGCCATCTTGTCAACATCAGCTTTGGTTTTGGGTTCAATTGCAACCTTAATCACAGGATCAGGGAAGTCCATCCGCTCAAGCATGATTGGATTATCAGGGTCACACAAAGTTTCACCTGTAATAGTATCTTTCAAACCTGCAAGAGCAATAATATCACCAGCTAAAGCTGTTTTAACATCCTCTCTGCTGTTTGCATGCATTTCTAGAAGTCTACCAATTCTCTCCTTTTTCCCTTTGTTTGCATTGAGTACATAGGACCCTGCACTTAGCTTCCCAGCATAGACCCTGACAAACGTAAGTGAGCCTACAAATGGATCACTCATGATCTTAAAAGCTAGCCCAGCAAATGGTTCTTCATCACTTGCTATCCTCTCTATTGTCGCTTCTGGGTTTTCAGGGTCAGTGCCCTTCATTGGTGGCAAGTCCAGTGGTGATGGTAAATAATCCACCACAGCATCAAGCAATGGTTGGACTCCCTTGTTTTTGAAAGCTGAGCCACACAACACTGGCACAAAACTGGCTGCTATGGTTCCTTTCCTAACTAATTTTTTTATAGTTTCTTCATCTGGTTCAATTCCCTCCAGGTAGTTCTCCATAGCCTTGTCATCGAACTCAACTATGTTTACTATCATCTCGGCTCGGTAATCCTTAGCCTGCTCTAGAAGATCAGCTGGAATATCTACAAAATCAAACTTGGCACCCAGCTCTTCTCCAGACCAAACTATAGCTTTCATCCTAACAAGGTCTATAACTCCCTTAAATCTATCTTCTGAACCAATTGGTAACTGCAGTACAAGTGGTTTAGCACCCAAATTTGTTACTATCATGTCCCTCGTTCGAAAAAAGTTTGCTCCAAGACGGTCCATTTTATTGACAAAGCAAATCCGCGGCACCCCATATTTATCAGCTTGCCTCCACACAGTTTCTGATTGCGGCTCCACACCAGCAACACTGTCAAACAAGCATATAGCCCCATCCAACACCCTAAGCGCTCGCTCCACTTCTAAGGTAAAGTCAACATGACCAGGAGTATCGATAATGTTGATCCGGTGCTTATTCCAAAATGTAGTAGTTGCAGCAGAAGTAATGGTAATGCCTCTTTCCTGCTCTTGCTCCATCCAGTCCATCGTCGCAGTTCCCTCATGTACCTCTCCAATTTTGTAGTTTCTTCCAGTATAATACAGAATTCGTTCGGTTGTAGTAGTCTTCCCAGCATCTATGTGAGCCATGATGCCAATATTGCGATAATCCTTCAATGGAACAGCACGCTTTGTGTCTGGGAAGAATGTAAAAAAGGGTCATTTTCAAATGGATCAAACCAAACCAAAACACTTCATACTCATATACAATAAAATTGAACGGTAGGAAATATAAAGACAGACTACCATTATTTCTTAAGACAACTCCTCATAAGTGACAAGTTACTTTCAAAAGCCCAATAGAACAGACAAATGATGCTCTCCCCCCTCCCCCCTAATATGATAATTCAAACCGAAATTCTTTTCTTTTTTTGTTACATTCAAACCGAAGTTGAAGTATAACATACAAATTTTAAGGATGACAAACAAATGAACCAAACTAAAAAAAAATGTTTTCTTTCATATCATTCATTTTTTATTTCCTTTAAAAAACCAAACATACATTCTTAATACGAGACAGATAAAAAAGGGATAGAATGATAGACACCATCAGCAGACATGGCGAAAACAAAGAAGTTTCTTTTTCGTGGAGCAAGTTGGCGTGAATTGTAGTTGATTCGACAAGTCCCAAAGAAGTGCGAAAGAGAAGATGAAGATAGAGAGTGAGAGGGTCGAGGGCGAAAACCCATGAAGCGAACCGGAGAGAGTGGGGTTGGTCTCCTCTGTGATCCATTGAGATAGCAGAGAGATGAAGTGGTTACTCTCAGTGACTCTGCTGCCATATTTTGAGCCTTGGAGATAAACAAACCCACGGACCCTGGCCTCTGGTTTTCGGTAAGGACTAATAACCAGACAGTGTCACATAATAAGCCAAGGAACCATTAAGAGTTTTTTTAATTTTTTCAGACGATTTACTAATATATTAATATATTTTTAAAAATGGACAATAGATTGAATCCATGTTACTTGAGCGTTAACATTTTAGGGGTTTTATATTTTTACCATAAAATCACGTTGATAGTGTCTCATACATCATTATTTTTATTGGAAACCGGATTTCAATCTTTACAGAGAGAGATTTGAATAATTTTAAGCACATACAAGCTTAAACAGAATAATGAACGAGGATGTAACGAAGAATCTGTTGTGATGTTTTTCTGGTTCTAGGAATACAGAGACTCGAAGAACTTGATGAAGAATAGGGAACCATATAATGAAAGGTTCCGAAATGGATTTATTAAGATGAAGAGAAGAATTACAAGAATTTTATGAATGAATTACAAGATACCCAATCTAACATCAGAGTTGTTATTTATAGCAAAACTATCACAATTAACACCTAACAGATTTGATCAATCCAGCTAGAAATACGTGGCAACCTACTAACATAGCCTCACCGACTTAAGGCTTCGTGGCACCTTATTAAAACGGCTCACCGACTAAAGACTTGAAATATTTCCCAACAGAATCTCGGTAAGGGACACTTCCAACGACCTTTCAAACATTAAATTCAGAAAGCAACTCCCAAAATTTAACCTTTGGAAGGGAGTAAAAGCTTTGGAATTTTATTTTCAAAAGATTAAAAAAAGGTTGCAAGAAGTAACATCCATGAGAATTGATTCTTACACTCACACCTAATGGAATAAAAGAACAATTTCTTCTACTCAACTTTGTTTGTGAAGTAAAAACACAGCGTCTCCATAAGAAAATAAATTTCTTTTGAAGTCTTTTATCTTCCTCTAACCAGCACCACCGGCCACAGGCTACAAAATTTATGCAGACAAAGGAGGCAATAGCCCTTCTTTCGTAGCCATTTCTTACAGCACAACAGCCACCAGAACCTTGCAATCTGCTGTAATGTGCCAAAGTTTCTTAAATGGTACTGCACGCAACTTAATCAGCTCCTCATGTTCGAACCAGGATCTCCTGCACTAACTGCTTCATGTAGTCAGTGCATTTCAGATACTATAAGATATGAATCATATAATGAGATATTATCTTATATACTAACAACATTCATATTTTCATATTACCATGCTGAATTATTGCAAAGTTAATAAAACATAAGACATGAAACCAATAGTTTTTTATTTGACAAAATAGCTAAGTCATTTGCCAAGCACAGATTATGAAACTTGAAAAAGCAAAGAGAACAAAGAGATCCTCGTCAAAAGGCTAGAAACATACAGGAGAGAGGACAACTCTGCATCCAGCTGCGGAGTCAAGGAAAGCAGTTAGATCAACCATGTCTTCTATGTTTAACTTGATGTCAGTCTCTTCTTCAACCTATCAGTGTCATAAATACAAGGAATCATGCATAGTGTGGATAAGTTAGTTACATCACTAGGAAAGACAAACAAGAAAAATGTCTCACGTGAAAGTGAAAATGCCATAAACATGCACTTTCAGTATAACTAGAGATGGCGAGAGGCCAATAAGAACTAGACCTCATTTAATAATTAATTATTGTAATCATAATTTGCAATTATCTCATTTAAGATAGCAATACCCCTATTATTGTCATCAATGTCTAGATTTTGTAGGCTTTTTCATGTAAATAAAATAAATTAAATGACATATTATATATGTCTTTAAATTTACATAAATATCTTAATTTAGGTTTAACTTGTATAGAAGTTAATTTTAGTCTACTCTTAAAATTAAAAGTCTCGAACAATTAAAGTAAAAAAAAAGTCAATTATAATAAACTTTTTAACAAATGAAAAAGAGTACTATAAATAAAAAAATTAATTATAATCAACCTTAATTATGATCATAAGAGCACTAAGTAACTTAATAGAAGAATAGAATAGATAAACAAAACACAGTCGATTAAAATTAATTTTTTATATTTATTTCAGAACATATAACGATGTTTTATTTTATTTACGTAAAAAAGTTAGATCTTATATATGGTTAAAATTTTGTCTCTTAAATATTTTTTCTTATTTATTATTGATCTTTTTTCACAATGATGCCAATTCAATTTACTTTTTTTTTTTAAGAGTTATATTATTTTTGTAATAATTGTTTTTTCATCTCATTACCTATGCATTTAATCATCCTATATTCTTTTTTTTCTAATTAATACAAATAATTTAATTAGATATATGAGATTTCTCTTTCTTAAAATCCGTAAGGGAGAGCACGCTGATCAATCAACTTTCACATAGAAGGATAGGAATTGATAAATTTATTCAAGTTTTGAAATTGCAAATATAAAATTAAAACTATAATTAAATAAAATATAAACTTGGGAGGACACTGTCACAGGGATCAGGATTTCCTTATGTTACATTATCTTTATGATCTGTGTTTTCGTATTTTTCTTAAGTAAATAATTTTTTATTTAAATAAAAATATAAGCACATAAAAGTCATTTTCAAAAGAAAAAAACGAAGGAATCTCAATTCCTGTCGGATTTGATATTGCAAACGTAATTCTCGTTGTGGCAATCACTTCACTGCCACACAAATTTGATCCAGCCACGTCATCCTTGCGTTTTATATCCAACTATCTTTCTAAGGTATATTCATTCTTCCTTACAAAAGTCTCTTTCCACTTTCTTTTTAAGTTGATTTTTATGAAATGATGAAAGAGGAAGATACATGAGATAGTTATTTTGTTTAAAAGTTTTTAAATTCAGAAAACAAGAATTTATAAATATTTTAAAACTTTTTTAATATTATATTTTTAAGTTTTTCTAATTTAAAGAATTTTGTATTAATTTTCTCTTCTATTTTTAATTATTTTTTTATTTTTTAAACTATTTCTTTTATTCTCTATTCAAACTCACAAATAAAATTTTTAAATTTGTATAAAATTAATTTTAATAAAAAATAATTTAAAGTTATTAGATATACTTAAAATATACATTTAAATCAAATTTGATAATAAATTTGTATTAAATTATTTTATTAAATATTATGAAATTTAACTTTTTAACACAATAGTCTCTAAAGTCTCAATTTCAATTATTTAGATCGTATCATTTTAATTTTCATACATTTAAGTAATATTTTTCTACTTTTATTTTTTCTATTTCTCTTTTTATAATATTATATTATTCATTATATTTTAAATTTTGTTATCTCTTATTAATACATAAATTTCAAAAATATGTCACAATTTATTTTTCTTTAGAATAATGTCAGTTTCACAAGTTATTTTATACATCTCATAGCAAGTTGACGGAAGCAAGAAAGAGGAAAACTTAAAAATAAAATTGAAAAAGAAAGGTGTTTGATTGAATGATTGGTAGCAATTTCTTTGTATTTACTTTACTTTCGGAGGGTGTTTGTTGCAATTACGTAACAAGTGACGTCTCATGATGATAGAATTATAATATATGTGGGTTAAAAAGAAAATAGGATTAAATTATATATATAATAACATCGTCAATAATTTTTCATTTTTGTAAAAGAAAATTATATATTTAAATATTAAATTTTGCAATATTATCATAAAAAATAGTTTTTATACAATTTATACATCAGTGGATATGTAATCTTATAATAGTTATTTAATAATATTTTAAATAGTATAATATCTATTAAAATATAATAAAACAATGAAATATTAATTATTATTTAAATTATGTGAAATTTTGTAAAGTTAATCAATTTTATAATAACTTTAAATTAAATATATTGAATTGATAAATTTATTTTTTATGGAACGTTATTAAAAGTATTATTTTATTAATTTTATTGTTTAATATCATTTTATTTTAGCTTTCTGTTTCTCTTTTTGAAAAGTTATATTTAATGAGAGAAATTTCTTTGATATGAAAGGTGATAATAAATTTTGATCATGCAACTTTATATAAATTAAGATAAAAAAAATGTTACAATGATCAAGATAGAACTAAGTGATAAAAATCCATTTAAAAGGAAGCTATTAAACACTCCTATAGCAAGAATCAAAGGTTGAATAGTAACTTGAACATAATAGAACTAAGTGATAACATACTTTTCATACTGCTGTTAAAAAAGGGTAAAATTAATAAAGGGCTAAAATCAAGCATCAAAGAACATCATCAAAGTTATTTACATTCGGATTTGACAACTATAAAGTCTTTGAATTGAAAATTTATTTTTAGAAAAAATTTTAAAATTTTTTATGTGCGAAAAAGAAAAATTTTCACATTTACTACTTTAGGTATATAAAATAACGACATATTTATCATATCATTCTTTTCATGTGACATGATATTATTCTGTCATTATCCGGTAATTATATTTGAGTCTAAAGATTAAAATGATCGATAAAGATAAAAGTTAGAGACTAATATGAAATTTTTAATATTTTAAAGACTATATGTTTGACACAAACTATCAAAAGGACTAAAATAAGGGTTTAGTCAATAATAAAAATAATAGTGATGTAAAATTCTATTATTTAATTTATCACTTAACAAAACATTTAATGATATGGACTAATTTTAAACATTTGAAAATATTAGGAACATTTAATTATGTGTACAAGACTTTATGACTTAAATAAGCGTCATACTCTTTTTAATATTTTTTTTTGACAAATCAAAAGTGACCTACCACATATTATCTATAATTTCACTGCTTTGATCATAAAAAATTAAATTATTAAAAAAAATTTCTAAGATATTTTACTTAATGCAATATAATGATAAAAGAAACTGCTATCAAGTAAAGGTTGTTTACCTTGATGTTGTTAATGTAGATTAGAGTATCTTTACCTTTACCAATCTTATCATAAATTATGATGTCATACTAAATATGATGAGATTTATTCTAAGCTTCTTGAATTTTAAACCTAATTAAGATTGGAACATAACTTAATCTACAAAGCTCGGATTGAAGTATTTAAAAAATGAAAGGAAAAGTTATATTGTGAATCAAAATTTCAACTCAAGAATCAGTAAAAAATTATTTGTAGATCATGAGACATGAACAAAAGATATTTTAGACACAAACGAGAGTTTGTTTAAAATAAAAGATTATAAATCTTAAAATTCAAAATTAGAGAAAACAAAATTATTATCTTACAAATAGAATAAGAAAAAGGAAATACAATAGAAATAGTAACACAGATAAAGATGTTTATTAAGTTGAAAAGATTGTCACAAGAATAGATGAATTCTTGATATGATCAAGGGTTACAAAAAAGAACTAAGCGGAGAAAATTACTCACTATAATATGATTCCAACAATGTATATTTCTCAAATAATCTTCAAGTATTTTATTACAATTCAATTTAAAAGTTTATCCACTTAAACTTAATAAATTATAAACAAAAAATAATTCA